TTAGTTTTAAATAAATTTTTCCGTTTCTAGACGTGCTTTACCCGATGTTTGTTGCCAACTTCGTCGGGGTCGCGTTTAGTCGTTCCTTGCATTATCAATTTTACGTTTGGTACTATCATTCCATTCCCTTTATTTTATGGTCGGTGCCACTGCTTTCGGACCCTGTGCGGTAGGTGAAGTGTATTGTACTTTATTATTCCTACATCATTTATCATTATTGATCGGTATTTTACACTAGTCTAGTGAATTCTAGTGATGAGTAGATTCCGAAATCAAGTTTTTACCTCCGCCAATGATGCACTGTCATGGATGAAACAGTGGCATAGAGATTTTAATACTCTTGGATACGCCTTCTTCAGATTTGAATGACCTTGAGCCAAAAATCAGTTAATTTCTCATTGTTTCCCTTCACTTAAGTCGATAACTTCGACTTGCTAGGAATCAAATGCGTCATGTATTTTATTCTTTTCTCTGTGTTTCGCTTCTACATTGGCTGCCTAAATGTTGGAAACTTCTTTTGTCATCACCTATATCATCATCCGCATTCATAGTAACGAATGGAGCTCATTAAACCCTACTGCTGCAATTATGGTTGTCGTAATTTATTACAAGAAATTACGAAGTGTGGTTCCGATGACTCTAACCTAACTTGGGTTCGGATTCAGTCATGGCTTATATTTGTGTATTGTCGAATTGCTTTTCATATTAATTATCATGGTCTCGGTATTCTAATATTGTACCGAAACATGAATTGACAAAATGAACGGATCGGCTATTGCTCAAAGAATAAATCTCGTGGCCATCCTCAAAACAAGCATCCTCTGCATCTGTTTTACTGCTCTAAGCTCAATTAATCCGACTGCGCCACCATGTTGTGTAATTAGCTGAGCTGTGTTTATGCACATCACATTTCAGATATTTTTCTAGTTGATCTCGGTTACGGGGGTCTAGCTATTGCATGTGTAGAATACTGATAAAGTGTCAGCCACGTCGTTATTTGTTGCTTCTGTCTCCGCATTTAAGGCTCCTCCTCTTCGGACTTATCGAGATGTCCTGGAATGTCTATCCATCCACGGTGCTGAGCAGTGCTACTCTACACGTCTGCCACGCAATTATCGTCCTAGGTCTCGCCCTTCAACCACTGTGCACTGCCTCCGTGCCTCCCAGACGATTAAAAGGCCGGAAGATAAAGAATCAGTAGTATTGTTAGCATTACTTTCTAGAGTAAATCTTCTTAATTACTTTACGTGCTACCCTTTGCATTCTCTATTCCACTTTTAGTAAAACAGATTTCCGTTCAATTAGGACCTATCAAAAATGGGATGCGTAACATTGATGGATAATGAGTGTTCATGCCATTAAGTTGCGCATTCTCCACTTTACTATGGACATTTCATTTTCTGTTTTTCTCTTTTCAGCTAAATCTCGAGGGTAGAGATGTGGGTAACCAAATTGTTGATATGGGCTTAATAT